AGGGGGAAAGAAAGGGTGTGGGGTGGGGAGAGGACTTACTTAATGAGCCAGGTGGTATCTCAGCACTGTGAAGTGGAGGGCCCCCCTCCTGGTGAAGACACTGGGGAGGACAGATTGGACCAGAAGCTGGTGTGTCTGTGACCCCAGGCAGTTTCTTTCTGAGAACAAAACATACCTCAGGAAAGTGGCCTGTTGGAGAGTGCAGAGTGTGATGGAGGCCCTGGAACAAATGGGGCAGCTCAGAGGTCACAGTGCAGGTATGGGCCTCTTTGACTTTCTACTGCAGCCATGGACCTGCTCCATGCCTGTGTCATGCCCAGACTCCTGTGAGTCCTGTCAGTCCAGGGACCAACACTGAAGTCAGTGGCTGAGTCCCTGCCTCTTGGGCAGGCACACACATGTGTACAATGCTTGGAGGCCGTGGCAGAAGGGTCTCATCTTAGACACCAGACCTGGCTCCGCCACACACTGCCTGTGTGACTTTGGACTAGTCTCTAAACCTCTCTGTGCTTGTGAGTCTTCAGCCGATAAATGGAGCTTATGATTCTGGTTGTTGTTAGGCTGTCTAGTGGTGCTGCTGTGCCTGGCTCAGGGCCTGGAATGATGGCTCAGCCAGCGGAAGAGGAGTTATCTGTACATTGTAGTGTTTGACTTTGAACCTTATGAGCCCAGATGTGCTCTCACACAGCTAGAGTGAGGCAGGAGCCACACTCACATCTGTCCCAGCTACATCCTCGCTCTTGTCTTGCAGCTCCAGTGCCAGCTGCCTTACTCCTCGCCCTGTGTCTGTGTGTGGTTCCTGTGTTAACACACCTCTGGGACTGAGTGTGGCTAGAAAGGTGATGACCTGTTTCCTACTTCCCCTCACAGGTGCCTTTCCGTGTTCTTTGTAGGCATCTGTAATGGGCCTCGGCCCAGCCTGAGTCTGTCCTCAGAAGGGATGGCACCAGAGCCCACAGTGCCCTGCTTGGGAAACAGCAGGCTGGTGGAGGATGAGCTGCCAGATGGCCTGCACCTCACAACTGTGCCCTGGGATGAGAGCGTCCTGGAGACACTCTCACCAAAGCTCACCACAGGTACCGATGCTCTGGGACGGGCCAGGACCAGGGCACACCAGGTGTCAGCAACAGGGTCGCTTCCTGTGCACGAGCGCACTGCCACCCCACAGCCATTGGGGTGATTGGGACGCGGGCCTCAGGACTAGCACTACCCACTGCACAGGCTGGCCACCACCCCCCATCCTTGTACCTTCAGAGCATCCCCTCCCCATCTCTAGAGGCTGTGATGGAAAGGAGGAAAGCAGACCCCAGCTGAGCCCAGGGCCACACACAGGCCTGGCAGCCAGATCTTGGCTCACCCTACTGAGTTGCATCCCTGCAGGCTCCACCTCCAGCCCAAGTGAGGGTTGTGGACATCAGGGCCTGGGGTCCACCCTCTGGGTCTAACCCTTCCCTCAGAATGCCTTGGGGTCTCTGTCATCTGCCTGTCTTCCTGCCCGAAGTCCCTTTCTCTTTCTCTCCCTCCCCACCACGCCCCCCCGCCAAAGCCACAATCTTGACTCTCTGTTGAGTAATGTATGTCATTGACTGCCGAGTAGACAGTGCTATGGTCTAAATGTTTGTGTCCCCCAAATTCCTGTACTGACAGCCAGGTATGGTGGTGTCCTTGGGAGGTAGAGCCAGAAGGATCAGGAGTTCAAGGCCAGCCTTCCTTGGCTACCGAGTGAGGTTGGGGCCAGCCTGGGCCACATGAGACCTTGTCTCAGAAAAAAAACAAAATTTCTTGTGCTGAAATCCTAGCCCCCTGCCCCGAGAATGGCATCAGGAGGTGGACATTTGTGGACACTGGGTTCCAAGGGCAGGGTCCTCCAAGTGGGATTGGTGCCCATAAAGAGGGCAGAGAGGTTCTTGACTCCTTCTACCCTGTCAAGACAGAAGTGCTGTCAGTGACCCAGGCCCTCACCAGACACGCCTTGACTCTGGTCTTCTAGATCTGTGAGGAGTCAGTGTTTGCTCTTTACAGAAGCTGCTGGGTCACCAGGCTGTGTGACAGCCAGTCAGCCAAGCCAGACAGACCAGTCCACAGACCAGCTTCATGTCAGGCCATGGAGATACTCAGATGAATGGAACCCAGTGTCTAGCCTGGAGGCAGCAGCTGCTCCTTGGGAGATGTCAGGAGGTCATGGGGGGGTGGATAAGAGATGGAGCTCCAGGAAAATGCAGCCAGCAGGAGGGGGTCGAGGTGCAGCCGAGGGTGGCCGGAAAGTATGTGTGCTCAGAAAGTAACAGGGCTGGGGTGTGGCTGCGTGGCAGAGCTCTTACTGAACACATTCAGAGAGAGAGGGTGGGGGAGGTCTTTCCATTTGATTTTTCTCTCTGGGAGTCTCACTGTGTAGCCTACACTGGCATCAAACTTGAAATTCTCCTGCCTCAGCCTCCCGGGATTACAGCTGGGGTTACAGGCCTGCACTACCACACCAGGCTTGCTGTGAGAGGACAGCTCGCAGCCCTCAGGGGGGTACCTACGGGAGCTGCTGCCAACCCAGGCCCCAGGCTTCCTGTATTTCACAGCCACTCTAAGCCCCTCCAGGCAGGGGAGTTCCGATCCCCCGCACTGTTGCAAACCACACAGACACAGAACTTCAAACTGTCTTTTTTAGCACTGTTTGAAGCGATTAAGGACCGAGAAGGCTACCTGAGCAAAGTCTGCAACTTCCTGCCTGTCAGAATCCTGTCTTACGTCATGCTGCCCTGCACCCTGCCTGTGGAGTCAGTCATCGCCACTGTTCACAGGTGAGCACTGATGTGCGGCATGGTGGTTCAGTGAGCTCATAGAGGCTCGGACTCAGCCCAGGCCAGCTGCATGTGTCACGAGATACGCTCGCGCATGGTGCCCCTAGAAAAGGCCCTCCTGTCCTGAGAGCCACCAGCCACTGCAACTCTGCACAAGCTCCAAAACTGCTTGGAGACTCCTCGAGCTGGCAGTGGCCTTGCCTAGCACCTGGTCCAGCCATTCACGATCTCCTGGGGAAACTGAGGCAGGGAGAGGTGGAGGCCACAGCTCTGAGGCTACTGGCAAGTGGGAAGGCCAGGTGTGGGAAGGCCCTTGTGCTTCAGGCCTGTCTTACTTTAGAATGGCATGCAGACGGTATTGCCCAGAGAGGCCCATTTTCCCTCTACCCGTAGAGTCTAATGCCAATTAGGAGATGGAAATGAGGTGGTTCTGGAACTTATGGATGGGTGTCCCTCTGATTTGGGGCATACACAGCAGGATGGCAGCTCAGCTCAGTTGTCAGACTGTCCTGGTTCAAGACCTGGCTGCACTCCTTACCACAGCTGTGTGGCCCTGGACTAGCGAGTGAGCCTCTCTGTTCTTTAATTTCCCCTCAGGAAAATGGGGGGGTGGTGAAAGCTGGCCTGGAGCAGGCCCAGCAAGGTCCTGTTTTGGAGTGCACTCACATCTGTGAGGCTACCATTCTAGGGTGAGCATGGAGGATCAGGAGTCCAAGGCTAGCCTGGGATACATAGTAAGTCAAGGTCAGCCTGGGATACGTAGTACAGTCTCAAGAAGACACACAGGGCTAGGGATGGAGCTCAGTGGTGGAATGCTTACCTAGCATGCATGGGTCCTGGGTTCAATCCCCAGCACCATGAAAAGGAAGGAAGGGAGGGAAGGAATGAGGGAGGGAGGGAAGGAAGGAAGGAAGGCACACTGGGTATGTGGCTCAGTTAGTATGCTTGCCTAACATGCACTAAGCCCTGGGTTCAATCCCCAGCACCCATAGAACTAGGCATGGTGGCACGGGTCTGTAATTCCAACTCAGGAGGTCGAAGCAGGAGATCAGAAGTTCAGGGTCATTCTTGGCTACATAAGGAGTTTGAGGCCAACCTGGGCTACATGAGTAAAATAGGCAGGAAGAAAGGAAAAAGAATTGAATTGGGTGGGGGAGGAAAAGGGGAAAGAGAGAGAAAGAGAGATCATCTGGAAGTCCTGGCTGTACCATTTGGCCCCTGCCCTCCTGCTGTGCTTGTCCCATCTGGACAGGTGTCACCACACAGCCCTGCCCTCTGTCCGTGGTCCTCTGTTCTGGGCTTCCTCCCTTGTTTTTCTGCAGCAAAGCCTCACCAGATCCCCAAGGAGACAGTCTTTGGATTGCATCCCTCGGGCTGTGCCTGTTTTCTGTGATTTCGGGGCAGCTGCTCACAGATCTGCAGGTGGAAATTCTTTCCTCTGAGAACAAGATCTGGGGTTCCACCCAGATTATTCATGAGGAGTCCCAGCCTCGTTCTCCTTTCTCCGTGGCTGAATGCCATTTGTCTTTCCATCCCTCGTGGTCTAGGTTTCCATGGGGCCCTGCCTGAGTCTCATTCGTGGATCTGCTGCTTCCTCAGCAAAGCCTCCATCTCCCTAACTGAGACGTGACCTGCTGTTGCTTCTGTAACTCCTTCTTTTCCATCTCCTCTTCTCCCCTCCTTCTGAGGCTTCTGGAAGATCATCATCTCTTGGGTTGGATTCCGGTCTCACTGATGTCTTTTCTCCCTTTTTTAAGAAAAAAGGATTTATTTTTAATTACATGTGTGTGTCTGTGTGCCTGTGACTGGGTTTGTGCACGTGATTTCAGGTGCCCTCAGAGGTCAGAAGATGGATCTGGATCCCCTGGAACTAGAGTTACAGATGATTGTGAGCCGCCATGTGGGTGCTGGGACGCGAACCTGGGTCCTCTGCAAGAGCAGCCAGTGCTCCTGACCGCTGGGCCGTCTCTCCAGCCCCCACCTTCTCTTTTCTGTATCATTTAAGCCTCTGTCTTTTTGCCTCTGTTCTGAAATCTCTCCAGATTTGCCTTTCACTCCCAGTCTGCCAGCATAATAGCAGCATAATCGAGCTTCTAACTCTGGCTTGTTCTTTTAGGTCAGCGCTCTGTGCTTGGTTCAGTCTTCATTTTGTTTCAGTGTGTGCATGTGTGTGGTGTGTGTGCACGTGTGTGCGTGCATGTGTGTGGTGTGTGTGCATGTGTGCGTGCATGTGTGGTGTGTGTGCACGTGTGCGTGCATGTGTGGTGTGTGTGCATGTGTGTGCGTGCATGTGTGTGGTGTGTGCACGTGTGTGCATGTGTGTGGTGTGTGTGGTATGTGCACGTGTGTGCGTGCATGTGTGTGGTGTGTGCACGTGTGTGCGTGCACGTGTGTGTGCATGTGTGGTGTGTTCTCGTGTGTGGTGTGGTGTGTGTGTGGTATGTGTGCTTATGTGTGTGGGTGTGGTGTGTGCACGTGCGCATGTGTGGTGTGTGCTTGTGTGTGTGGTGTGTGTGCTTGTGTGTGTGGTGTGTGTGTGCACGTGTGCGTGCATGTGTGTGGTGTGTGTGGTATGTGCACTTGTGTGTGTGTATGTGTGTGGTGTGTGTGCATGTGTGTGTGTGCATGTGTGTGGTGTGTGTGCTCGTGTGCGTGCATGTGTGGTGTGTGTGCACGTGTGCGTGCATGTGTGTGGTGTGTGTGCACGTGTGTGCATGTGTGTGGTGTGTGTGCTTGTGTGTGGGGTGTGTGTGCTCGTGTGTGTGTGGTGTGTGTGTGCACGTGTGCGTGTGTGTGCACACTTGCATGTGTGTCTGTGTATTTTACATCTATTTATTGTGGTTTTTTTTTTTACATTTTTAACTGTGTGGTGTGTGTACGTGTGTGCGTGCACGTGTGTGTGCATGTGTGGTGTGTTCTCGTGTGTGGTGTGTGTGTGTGGTATGTGTGCTTATGTGTGTGGGTGTGGTGTGTGCGCACGCGCATGTGTGGTGTGTGTGCTTGTGTGTGTGGTGTGTGTGCTTGTGTGTGGGGTGTGTGTGCTCGTGTGTGTGGTGTGTGTGTGCACGTGTGCGTGTGTGTGTGCACACTTGCATGTGTGTCTGTGTATTTTACATTTATTTATTGTGGTTTTTTTTTTTACATTTTTAACATATTTTATTATGCACATGCGTATACACATATATTGGCTCTCGTGCCACAGCCGTGTGTAGGGGTCAGAGAACAACTTGTGGAAGTCAGTCCTCTCCTTCTACATTGTGTGTCTGAGGGATCAAACGCAGGTTGTCAGGTCTCAAGCATCCTTACCCCAAGCCATGTCTGGATTTCAAAGACAGGCTCACTTTGTAGCCCAGGCTTGCCTGGAACTTACTATGTAGCCTAGGCTGATCTCACACTCAGGTCAGACCTCCTGCTCAGCTGAGCATGAGTCAGCACTCCTGGCTCGTGTTCTTACTTTATGGTGCCACACTTTGCTGGAACGTTCGCCATCCTCTGAATTGTCCCTCTCTGTCTAGGGCCAGCGCTTCTGTTTTCATTTTTCCTCTTGAGTGCTGTTTATTCTTGGCATGTGGTCCTCAGTTTGTGTGTAGATCTAGGACTCTATTGTGGGGTTCTGGGGGCTGTGGTAAAAAGCAGTCTGCTTCTAGCCAGGTGGG